AAAAGAAAAAAAAGAAATGGTTTCTTTTAGAAAGAAGCAGATCCCTGGATTATTACTTTAAAAACAATATTAACTAATCTGGGGTTGGAGGAGGGGTTGAGACAGAGTCTCACTCTGAGTTTTACTTTCCAAAGACTCTCTAATGAGAACTATAAGGTTAATTGCCAGAGGTTTTCTATTGATAACCTCAGAAAGGTCAGAGCTTCCCTTACTGTGGAATTTTTCTTTCTGAAATCTCTACTACCTCTTCCCTTCAGGAAAACACACCTGGCATTGCTCTAGTCCCAGACACTCCCCAAAGAACCAAAGCTGGTGCCCAAACAGGCAACAGTTTCCTGTTTCTCAGACCAGTCTGGCTCAAGGCTGTGTTGGGATGTCAAAGAATTAGAGATTTTGTGAATTGATGAGGGATTTATGGTTTATGAGTTCGTATGAGAAGGATGTGCTGAAATCAAGCAATGCTGCAAAACGCCTTGAGCACCTTTGTCACTTTCAAGCAGGAGGAAGTTGCCAGCTCTTTGAAACAAACTTTTCTGGAAGAGTTTGGAAGCTGGAATCAGGTAGAAGAGACAGGAGCGGAGGGCAGTGTGGGCTGTCTGTGTGTCCCAGCAGCCTGCTGTTCACCAGAAAAACAGCCGGGAGAGAGGCAGGGCGGGACACGCACAAAGTCGGGGGTGGGGGGATAGAGACAGAGCGATACAGAAGGAAAAGGGGGGAAGAGGGAGGGAAGAGACAAGGAGAAAAGCGGAGAGGAAGAATGAATGGCGGTGACCGCAAAGTCCCAAAGGCAGGGCTCACGGGGGCGAGGACCGACCCGCCCTTTCCCATCTACCGGGGACCCGCGCCCTCCGCCCCGCCGCGCTCACCTGCGGCGTCCCCCAGCGCGGGGGTTCCAGGCGGCTGCATCCCGGGGCACTGCTCCTCTCCCGGCCGCCGACTCTACTCGGGGGCCGCAGCACCAACCGAGCGGGCGGTACAGCCCGACCCCGCCCCTGCGCTCCGCCCCTCCCCGCTCCTCTCCCCGCAGCCCCTCCCCTCCCCGGGGCCCCTCCGCTCCTCCTCTTTCCTCCCTCCCTCAGGGCGTGGGGGCATCAGCGAGGGGACAACAGACCCAAGCTTGGAAGCGCCCTGAGAATAGCTGTGGATTTCTGGTGGGAGCCCCAGGCCAGGACATCTCCGGGAGGGGGCACAGAGCGGGCTGGGTCGGCGCAGGGTCCCTGCACCTGTCCCCAGAGGACACTGAGGACTGGTAGGCTGTGCCAGAGGAATGAAGGGGGCTCTGCTCTCCGTGCCAAGTTCTGCACAAAATCTGCTGCTGAAACGAAGGGCAAGAAGCAGGCCTGAGCAGGCCGCCTCCCAAAGCACAGAACAAAAATAAAAATCCTTGTCAATTTTTAAAACTAAGTCTTTTAAATTTATTTTAATAATCTTTAGAGTTAAGGATGTTAGCAACCACTTTGCAAAAGACGACACTCAGGCGTGACACAATTGTAAGAGGAACTTTACCTAACAAATGCAATCAATGTAACCTGGTTCCTTCTACCCTCCATGAATCCCCAACAAAACAATGCTGGGATGGTTGGTTGGGTTAAGGGAGTGGGTGTGACACAGGCGCCCTCTCCCCGCCCCACCCAGTACCTACAGCCCAGCTAGCTGGGGAGGGGAGTTGGTGAGGGGGAGGAACCCTGAGGAGCAGGGAAAGTTCTGGGGTGGACAGATGTGCTCACTGCCTCCAAACTGGCACAGCTAAAGTGGTAAATTTTATGTATATTTTGCCACAATAAAAAAAATGCATTTTTAAAAAGCATCCTGTTTGGACAACTTCTGTGTTGCACATTCTGTGGCCACCAGCGGTGTAAATGGCACCAGCCTCAATCTCAAAACTTGTCAAGGCACCACCTCCACTAACAACCCACACATGGCCGTACCAGTCACGGGCCAGAGCCTGATAAAGCACCTCTGAGTGGCTTTCAGTGACATTGTAACACCACTAGACAAGCTGAGCACAGCTCTGACCATGCTGGAAAAGGGGCTGAGTATAAATCAGAATTCCTTTAATATACAGGAAAGAAATATGATGCCCTAATCTTCCAAATCTCCTAAAGCTCACACACAGCCTATGAATGGTGGATCGAACCTGTCATAGAGTAGATAAAGGATGTAGGGCAAGTCCCTGTGCTAGCACGGACACCCAGAAAGTATACTCACTGCATGTGGTGGCCACATACAGCCCCCACATGGTCGCTGGACACCTGGGCTGCAGGCCCGCTGCCCGCAGCCCTGCCACCTCTCCCCTCCCCAGGCAGGGTCCCTCCCATCCACTACTCCTGGTGTAGATGAGATTGTTTTCTCTGGACTGCTGTGTCCCACCTCCGTGGCTCATCGCCATATTTGTGAATTGCACATGTTTGATGATGCCACATGCATATTCCAACACTCAGAGCTGGATTCAGACATAAAGGTGGGCTCCTTGCTTCTTCCCGCTCCTGGGGCATCACCTATAACACCCACCTGGGAGATAATCAAAGTGAGAGAGATGATTAGCAAGTGGAATAGGAGTTGTCTTATTAATATAATATAGGGAAAAGCAAGCCCAGAATAGGAAAAGATGTTTTAAATAAGATGCCAAAAGAGTTAACTGTAAAGGAAAAGACTGGGAAATTCAAACCCTTTAAGATCAAGAACATCTATAATTAGAAGCCACCTTAAAGAGAATGAAAATGCTGCCCACAAACTGGAAAAATTAATATATGGACCATAAAAAATAAGCACATCGGCAGTGGAGGGGGACACTTTCAGAAATTACCATTACACATGTTTCTGACTACAGAGCTCTTTAATAAAGAAAGAAAGAGAAGAAAGTTGTTACACTTTACATGTTCTGGGTTGCCTTGCAGAATTGCAAGAGGAGCCTGGCAGCATTTAGTCACATTACTCTTTGCCCCCGCTACCCACTTCTAGGAATTTATGCAAAAGATTATCCAGCAGAAGTACAAAGTGGGATATGCACAAAGCCACTTGTTATTTACTGCAGTGAAAGACGGGAAACCCCAGATGGCCACGGATAGAAGGCTGGTTGAGCAAACTAGGGCACGTATACAGCACACAGCAGGGCCGTGAGGACACTACCAGCACTGACGTGGAATAACTCTATGTTGTAGGAGAGAAGAGAATGTAAACGCATGTACACACTGGCTCAAAATGCCAAAAGACGGAAAGGAAGAAGGAGAAAGCTAGTGAGAGTCATCACCAACAGTGGCTAGAAGCAGCCTGTGGTATGTCAGCTCCAGCGCTGTCAGGAGGGTGGCGAGGGTGGCCGCCATCAGTCCACCTGCCACCAGTTCTGTGCCATGGCACCAACATCAGCACAGAGGAAGGGCAGGGCCACCTTGGAGTCACCCTAAGAGCACGTTCTGAGGGCCCTCGAGGTCTGCCAGCCTCATGCTAAAAACTGCTGCACTGTGAGGTCAGCACCGATGTCAACACATGAAGGGTGGATAAAATGCGGACGGGCCACTGGCGTTAGGTCCTGGTTCAACAAACTGACCATAGATTGACATGAGGGGGCCACCAGGAGCCTCGAGAGCCTACACTGGTAATGAGGTAATCCACAGCCTTCCAGGGAAGACCCAGTCCCTGGGCCCCATGGATGTGACTAAGGTCAGGCCTTGGGGTGGGAGAGGGCCCTGGATTTCCCAAGTGGGCCCTGGCTGTGGTCAGCAGGGTCTTCACAGGAAGAAGATTGAACTGAAACAGAGGCAGAGGCCATGACATGGTGGGGGAGGCACCAGAGGTGGCACAATGTGGGACCTTGCCAGGCCCTTTCCACGGGAGCCTATAAATTATGTCCTCTGCAACACACTGTGGGGGCTCAAATGCCCTAAAACAGACACCTTCAGGTGAGGCTGCCCTGGGATAACTTGCTAAGTGTTAACACTTACGACAGAAAGCACATCCTGGAAGACAGGCATCCACTTTGGGGGTAAAGACTGACTTTCTTTTTTTTTTTTTTTTTTGAGACAGAGCCTCAAGCTGTCCCCCTGGGTAGAGTGCTGTGGCATTACAGCTCACAGCAACCTCCAACTCCTGGGCTCAAGCGATTCTCCTGCCTCAGCCTCCCAAGTAGCTGGGACCACAGGCGCCCGCCACAACGCCCGGCTATTTTTTGGTTGCAGCCATCATTGTTGTTTGGCGGGTCCGGGCTGGGGTTTCAAACCCGCCACCCTAGGTGTACGTGGCTGGCGCCTTAGCTGGTTGAGCTATAGGCGCCGAGCCAAGACTGACTTTCTGACAGGGAAACCTCGAAGGCTGAGCACCCTCCCCAAGTGCTTCATTCAAACCTCTTCCCTGGTGGCCTCATGTGGCCCCTGGGCCAGGCACTTCATGTCCACCTTCCTGACTAAGGCTGGGGAGCCAGCATCACCCCCTCACCCTGAGGTACCAGTTGGCCGCAGGCCACCCTCAGCACCACCAGCCACCCTCAGCCCCATTGCAGCCTATGCAGCCCCACAAGCCGGGGAGGGCCATCTGGCAGCAGAGTATTTTTAAATGTAATGTCATTTGGCTCTTCCAGAAGGTAATTATGAGAAGACAAGGAAATCAGTTTTCAGAGAGACTGGAAACATCATCACTATAGCAGCTGTGACGTACACAAGAGCCCTTCCTGCTCAGAGGGAAACATTTACAGGGTCTGGAGGCCTCCTGCTTGACCTTCTGTGCCTGAGCAGAGGGTCCAACACTGCCCAGAAACACCTGGCTCCTTGGGGTTTCTCACATGCAAGGTTGGGGGTGGGAATTGCCCCTTCAGAAGGCTCTGGGCAAACTGGGGGCTGGGAGATGGCTGATACCGTGCACTTGCCCCACCTCGTACCATAATTCTGCTATCCTCGTGCTGCCACTGAGCTGGTGAGAAGGCTCTGACACACAGAATTAAGTAATGTTTCCAAAGTCAAATAGCTGGTTAATGGGAGAGACAAGATGTAAACCATGCCAGTCTGATTTCAAAACGTAACTGCCTCTTCCAAACGGGAAAGTGTTTATTTACTTAAATATAGACTTTTAATTTAATTTTTCTTACATTTAATCAATAAAATAGTTATTGAATTTCCTCTATGTGCAGGATACCAGGAGAGCTGCAAAGATGAATTATTTGGTCCTTTGAGAACTTTATGGTTAGAGGTAAAATTAGAGAAATGGAACATCCAATGGCAACCTAAAGCAGGTGGTGAGACTCCTGCCACCCAGGCACCTGTGACACTGGGGTGTGAACAGGATCCCGGCACAGCTAGCACATCACACAGGTCTCCTGGGAGAGTCTCAGAGGCCCAGAACACATTGTATACAGAGTTGGGTGGGCACCCACTGTCCCCTAATGGCTCCATGAACAGCGGTGACTAGGGCCACTGCGGGGACAGCACAGACATGAGTTGCAGAGTCAGAGACCACTGATAAAATCAGATGGATCTGCCCAAATAGACCTGTCCCACCCAGGCAGGGTCAGGTTCATGGCCCGCCCAGGAAGAGTCAGACTCATGTCTCTCTCAGGAAATATGAATGCCACCAATTGCTGCCCTCCCTGACCCTTTAAATCCCCATGTGCCATAACCCACATGTGGAATTTTTTTCTTGATTTCGCCCCACCTGCATACAGGTGGAAATGAAAACCACATTATTTCTACAGAATGGGCATTCCGTTTTCCTTGTTTTGTGCCTTAGAATAATCTTTCTTCCTTGAGTCCAGAACCTTTCATATGGTTCCACATGACTTGGAGGGGGAGAAGGCCCTTTGCGGGGCTGAAAGTATACCCCACCTAACCTAACCAAACAACTCTTCCCCCTCCCCCCAAAACAGTACACTCTCTGACCTTGCCTAGCATTCATCCATTTAATACTGAGGTGAGCCCTTA